GAGAAGGAAGCTAGTCATCACCACCCACCATCAACTCTTGGGTTACTCTTTTACAAACGAATAGTGAGAGTGACCATCACATTATAACGCCCCATGGCTGAAAGGGTGAGCATGTTTGGTGGGATGGGGATTCGAACCCGCGACCCACAGATTGCAAGTCGAGCTCCCTAACCACCTGGCCATGCCGGGCCCAACTCCATGGTAAATTGGGGTAGAACCAAAATTGATTGAGGTGGAACAAATTGATTACAGGTCATCAGTCTCTGGTTTTCTTGGGTACTACAAATAGGCTGGAATAAAAACCTGGAGAAGGATGATTGATAGGACGATGGCCTGCTGGGAGAGAAGACATTGTACCCTCTCGGACAGATTGTAACTGGTGGTTGGATCACGAGGCAATGGAAAGGAAATGGATATCTGACATAATAGAAGAGGGCAAGGAAATTGTATGACAAGTCCCTCAGATAAAACCTGAATAACTCACAGATCTGTGAGGAAAGATCACAAAGGAGAACAAAATTGGACAAGCGAGCCCCCATTGGACTGAAACCCACTGCATCAAATAAAATGACAAGATGAGGAACTCCTGGAGGGAGGAACAGGTAAAGGGTGAGAAGGAGCTGGATGGAAAACAGTAATACGGACATGTCTAGACTCAGAATGCAACAAACGATCCATTAAAGAAAAAAAATGATAGTGTGCTGTCACACTGACTCCACTTGAGATTCTAAAGTCTTAGTAATATTACTAAAAACATGCCACTGAAGAAAATGGGCCATATGTAAGTCCTGAAGATAAGGAGGTGTTAAACGAACCTGGGACAATGAGATCCCAATAACAGAGAAACCACATTTGTAAAGCTAGAGCTGAAGAAGACAAATGTGTCAATGTAGAGGTAATCAGGGAGAGGCAATCCCTCGAAAAAAAAACAGGATCTCAGCAGCTTGCCTCAGAAAGGAGATGGATAGTAGACAAGTACTAATACAGAATCAACAGGGAAAATTGTGCGTGAGATAAACAAACAGGATGATCAGAGTTTGATTCTAGCTGTTGAGAGACAAGAAACAGCCATTCAGCCTGATGGTAGGCCAAGGAAAACTGATCCATAGCTCGTGTGGGGGGGGGGGGCAAGGCATGCTGGCACCCTCAACCACATGAGAAGCAAAATGCTCAGCATGGACCCTAATATCCAGGGAAGGTATCCTGTAACAAAGAAGGACAGGATAATATAAAATCAGGGAAATTGATATAATAGTACATATCTGAGAAATCGTGTCTACAAAAGCTATATTAAGGCCTAGCTGACTCTGCAGTAAGGACATAGGAAGACACGGCAAAATCAGGTGGTGGAAAAAGGCTGTCAAAATACTTGTTGACCCAAACATGTTCAACATGTTCAGGAGGATGTTTGTTTTTGTATTTCGCGCAAAGCTACACGAGGGCTATCTGCGCGAGCCGTCCCTAATTTAGCAGTGTAAGACTAGAGGGAAGGCAGCTAGTCATCACCACCCACCGCCAACTCTTGGGCTACTTTTTTACCAACGAATAGTGGGATTGACCGTCACTTTATAACGCCCCCACGGCTGAAAGGGCGAGCATGTTTTGGTGTGACAGGGATTCGAACCCGCGACCCTCTGATTGCGAGTCGAGTGCCTTAACCACCTGGCCATGCCGGGCCATCTGCGCTAGCAGTCGCTGATTTAGAACTGATAGACTAAAGGGAAAGCGGCTAGCCAACAGCACTCTCTGCTAACACTTAGACTATTCATGTCTAACAAAATATTGGGATTCGTCTATCACTTTTATAACGCACCCACGGCCCCAAAGGGCGGAGTGCAATTTTGTGGCGGTAGCGAGACGGGAATATAGAACTCGTAGATCCACAGTTCGGCACGTTAATAATGTTAATAGTGTCAGAAGAAAGTATTCAAATCAGGCCCTTTTTTTCTGATCCAAAGCAATTCATAAAATCAAGACTTTCAAATAACAGTTTCACTTCATAAAAGTATCATTCTTTGTGTCTTTTTTCTAT